GTAAAAATGCTACAGTGCAAAACTGTTAATTGGTTAACAGAAAGTTTCCTTAATACGGTAAATAACTGTGATAGATCTAACGGTACATTTAATGTAATTTTACTGTAAAATACCGTTAAATTTACAGTTTTTGAAAGTGAAAAGAACAACCGTAAATTGACATTCCCACAATTCCCTGCATGACACTTCACATTTGATTTATTTTTGTTGAAATAACTCTGTTTCTTCTTAGTTTTCTTAGTTCTTTTCTAATCAGTTATGTACATTAGGGTTTTATGTTACATTTAATGTTGTTAAATTAATGTTTATTGCATTTTTAAAATTTCATGTGTGTTACCATGATGGTGTTTAATGTTTGTGCGAATAACACTGTGCAGCTTCAATATAATAGTATTATTGCTTGTGATGAGCTTTGATATATCATGTGACTCTCATCACTACTGTGATGATTGTTGGTTGTCAGTGTATTACAATGTTACAAAACAGATATTAATACTTCAATAGGTTGGTAAATTATCATCATATCAGATAATGAATTACGGTTTATTAAGTTATTAAGTAATTAAGTAATTTAAGTAAATTTAAGTTTATTAAGTAAATTTTAAGTTAAGTCTGTAAAACCAAAAATGTTGATACAGTATTTTTGACAGTAAAGTTCTGGTAAGCTGCCAGTTTTTTTCCGTAAAAACAACTGGATTTTTTTTACAGTGTATTGTAAAAAGACCTATATAAGTAAATGTGACTTGACTTGGCTATATAATATTATATATAAGTATTATAATAAATATAAATATAAGTATAATAAGTATTAATAAAAGTATTTTTATTATGTACTTCCAGTTATATATATATATATATATATATACATACTTCCGACTCTTAGTTTATTGCTGAATGGCACACAGCCCTGCTAAAGGTCTTACACCAGCCCAGCTGTTGGTCTTGCCTGACTGGTAGCAGGAAAGCATCTATTATTTTAGCGTCCAATTACAAAGACGCATACCCTGAACAAACATGCCATGTGTTTGCATGCTCTCCCCCATCCGTCCACAAACTGTGAACCTGGCCAACTGTTCTGGACACAAGAAATGAGCCTGGTGAAGCCTCTGCAGGTCTGAACCATGCGGTTGCATTTGTAGGGCCAATTGATACTGTATGAATTAAAAGAAAATCAGAAAAGTTCTTTTAGTCCATTTATTTGCTGTTAAGAGGCTAATAGAGGCTTCCATAACATGGAAAGAAGACTAGTGGAAAGAAAACACCTTGTTTTGTTACACTTAATCTATTTGGGTCAGCAGATTTCAATAACAGAGTCAGAAATCCCCACTTCAGTGTCACTTTGCACACACCAAACATTCCAGTTTTATTACTTGGAGTAAGAAAGTTCAACTTATTGTTTGCACATTATACAGTATAAGCATATTCATAATAACACTAGAGGGCATCCCAAAGGCTCCATGTCAAAGTTAATAGCCATGGGTCTAATGAGTACAAATGGTGTTCAATAAATAATGAATCTTTGTGCCTCAAAAGTTAAAAAATTCAAACCTTTCATGATGAGTCAGACTTTCCAGTGGTCGTCACCACGGCAACAGTTTGATGATCCCAGTAAGCGCTGTGACCTCTGTCTCTCCTTGTGCATTGTAGGAAATAGAATATCAGCAGCTGTTGCGCGGTGGGTGACTTCTGCACTTCATCCAGCATGGCTGCCCAACATAACCACCATGATTAATAATGACACAGAGATCTGGAACCTCTTGAGTGGACGGCACACTGCGCCAATGAAGCGAGGCGGATTTCCATCTGGATACAGAAAAAGGTTAATGTTTTTAATTGCTCTAATCATGATAAAGATATGTATGCTTTTTTTATTATACGTTAAAGCCAGTGTAGCTTAAATCGACCTGATCAGTGGTGTGACTTTGCACAGTATCGTATTGCATTAAAATCTGAGGCATCTACCCAGAATAACAGCTCCAAAAATACTTTTAAGTTAGATTGTAAAGGGTTAGATGTTCATACGTAATGGGCCATAAAAGCAGGTCAGAGTGATAATTGCAACCACAAGTGAAGGTTTTTATTTTTACTTGCTACTTTTTACTGACTGAATAAATAAAGTTTTCCAGATGCTTAAGTCTTAAATATGCTTTTTTCCCCCTGTTAAAACAGCACAGCAATCTATAGTCTTATGTAAACAACACGTATAAATAACCGCAAAATAATAGGAACAGTGCATCATTACAGACTGTACCAGGTTTTATTTATTATCAAATGCTTAGTGAGTCAGATTTCATTCAGATCAAGATCCAAATTCAGGTACAAATCCACATTCAAATCTATAGACCCAGATCCATACCCAAAACCAGATGCAAAAATATGTTCAGATCCATATTGAGATCCAAATTCAGGTTCAAATCCACATATAAATCTAGACCCCGATCCAAAATTATGTTCAGATTCAGATCCGAAACCAGATTCGAATCCACATTTAAATTTAGACCCGGATCCAAAACTATATTCATATCCAGATTCAAATCCAAATTCAGATCCACATTTTATTCTAGACCCGGATCAAAAACCATGTTTAGATCTAGATTCGGATCCGAATTCAGATTCAAGTCCACATTTAAATCTATATCTGGATCCAAAACTACGTTCAGATCCAGCTTCAGATCTGAAGTCAGATTCAAATCCACATTTAAATCTAGACCCAGATCCAAAACTATATTCAGATCAAGATTCAGATCCAATTTCAGGTCAAGATTGGGATCCAGATTCAGGTCCCAAAAGAGATCCCATTAGGTCCAGATTAATTTATTACAAATCAGATTCAATTAAAGTATTAAATGAATTCAATTAATAAAAACCGTTAATTAATTAAATCACATTTTAAATGCTTAGTACGAGTCAGATTTCATTCAGATTCAAATCCACATTTAAATCTAGACCCAGAATCAAAACTATATTTAGATCTAGATTCAAATTAAGATCCTAAATCACATCCCATTAGATCCAGATTCAGTTATTGGAATTTAGATTCAATGAACTATATTCAAAGGACTGGCATGAGTCAGATTCAGATTTTTCTATGTATATTCATGTTCATGGACATCTTACATACAGTAGCCTATACAATGATGGTCTGAGAGACTGTCTTGTTATACACTTTTACAGTGCCAGCCATTAGTCTCAAAGCTGTACAAGAAAACTCAATAACTCACACCAGCAGTAATAAAGTCTACAGCAGTCAATCCTCCCTCTACCTCACACACACGTCTCTCTCTCCTCCTGCCTGACTCTACACACTTGAAACTGTGCAGCAATCTTGTCGACAGGACCACCGAGAAAACACTACAATTTAAGAACCATCTCAAACAATAGAAAAGCATCCTGTCCTGATAAACAGAAGAAGCTTTTTGGAGAATTTTTTTTTTTTTTTGTAGAATCGAAGAATTTGCACTTTTATGTGCCTGTATTGTATAAAATTGATCAAAATAATCAGACAAGAGAATCAACCAACATTCAATTTCAGTCTCATGTTACCTCCAATATTACATGCACACAGTCTGTCCACACAATATCTGGCCAGCACGTTTAATTTTAAATAATCCTATTTCTGACACGACACTTGAATTAACCTTGCTTTGCTTTGGCATTTTCTCATTTCCAGCAACATTGGTTCCCTTTCGTATGGGAACTCCTACGTCTCGTAGGAGGAGTTTCCAACGAGACGTCTCCGTTCCCTACTCAGGGAACGAGGGTTACCATACGTAACCGAGTTTGTTTTGTTTAAATGGTTGTGGAGCCCCACCCCGTTGCCACATTGTGTTTGATGGTTTGATAAGACAGTCATGAAAAAGCAACGCTCAGGAATGTAGTAGGCTGTCTGATGTTAGACCTCTGTTTGAAGTGTCACTATGACACAAAGATCAAGCCACAGTTGAGCTGAAAGGGTTTCATTTAGTCATAAATACTGTATGGATTTTATGGGAACCAAAACAATTTAGAGTCAGGTTTGATCAGATTTAGTCAAAATAAAAGTCTTGAGCCAAGATCCTACAGATTTTTAATCAACTGCCTTGATTCAACTACATTTCTTTAAATAAAATAATTATTATAATGGTGGTTTTCATGAGATCACAGACATAACAATAGCCTAGGCTAAGTTGGAGGGCAAGTTTTGTTTAATTGTTCTGAAAATGTATGTTTTAAGAGTGAGGTCATTGTGTGAGGTGATTGACAGCTATGTGACAGAGGAATATTATGACACTCGAGATTCAGCCTCTATTCTTCTAAAACACTGTATTTTTTTGGGACTAGAATTTTGTGTAAAATATAAAATTAGGACATTTGTGTAAAACCTACAAATAAAGTCATTAACCCCAGTTAAATTCTTTGTGGGATGAGGGAGTTTGGTATAGCCTGCGCACATGAGAAACCTGTTCCCTGTTGATATTAAAACATTTCGTGAGTCCCGTATTTAGAATAAGAACTTCGCGAATGAATCGCTCATTTGAGTCGGTTCTTTTCACTGAATCGGTCAAACGGTTCACGGAAACGGTCTCTGAAACAATTAAGTTTGAATCATTTGGAAACTCACGCACTGAATCATTTGATGGGGGAGTCTGTAAAAAATAGCTTAACTCAGATCACAGAAAACAAAAAGTTCACTGGAATGAGTGGATATTTACATACATCCATTAACTAAACTTGCAAATCCATCCCCATCGTTTGCCAGCGATGTAGAGAAGTCACCTAGCGCGATCGAGCCGCTTGTGAACGACTCTGTAGGTTACTGCAGGTGCAGACATTTTTAGAGCAAAAGCGTATTGAAAACACAATACTAGTATAAGAAAGACAACCATCTCGCATTTAGGGGCAGTGATGGGGACTGTCACTGTGAGTCTGTATGCAATTTGAACCGAACAGGGAGTTTGTGTGTGAGGTGTTCGGATCTCTCCTCCTCTCACACTTCCTCAAACAAGCTCACGCTCTCTCGCTCTGAGGTCGCAGTCCTCCCGTCTGTGTATCGGCAATGCTCGTGTAGTGTATGTGACTGTATGTTGAGGGGCTGAACTCAAAGTCCCCCGTGGTCGTCCTGACTGAGAGCAAAGGGAGGCTGTCGATTTCCCCAAGAGACCCCATTGCAGGTGGTGTGTGAGCAGTGAGGGGAAAAGTTTATGACAGCTCTGCTGTTTTCGGTTCTCGGCTGCCCCATGGAGCTTTTTGATTTTACGGATGCAGCTACCGACTTTTTACCAGGCTGTCTGACTCAGTAATGCTGCACTTGTATCGGACAGAGTCACGTTCGGGATTGAATCTTGGGTCACAGTGAATCCACGTATTGGATTGGTTTTTGAAAAATTTCCACTTCATTTCTGTGGACGTTTCTGGATAGCAGTTCTCAAGGTAATACTAGTCTGTTTACAGTCATTTGGATGCTGCTATAATGACAAGTTGGCTGTATGAATGTGGTTATTTTGCTGTCGTGAGACGCGTAGCCTATATTGTTTTGCTAAGCTGCAGTTATGTAGAGGTCATCCAGCACTAGAGTGGATTGCAGCTATATTTATTTCTGTCATAGCCACAGAAACACAGAATGAACTATAATCAGTGTGTAATAGGCTAGGTGTTGCTCTTTATGGGTTGGCTTGTATGTCAATCAGTGACAACAGCGTCTTGCTGTGTGACATCGTGTAGCCTATACTTTGTCTGTAACTAAGCAAGTTTCAAAAAGTTTAAAATATTTTGTTATTTTAAAGTTATTTTTTAAATATGACATAAGAAATATTTGTATTTTTAAGAAATGCTACATTTTATAGGCTTGAATGTCATGCTATTAATATAAAAAAATATATTAAAAAAGTTCATGCATGTTATTTGTCAACTTCCCATGTTAAACAAGCCTTAAGTTCCATATCATTGTTTGACAAAGCTATGATTTGACAATTTTAGGAAGTGTTAAAATAGCTCAGATGTTCTTACCTGCTACGATTTAGATTTTAGTTTAGTCTGAAACGCTTGTGTTGGGCATCCATAGGTTAGAGTTCTCAGTTTTACATTCTTTGTCTCAGATCTTTCTCCTAAAATTCTTAAGGAGAAATAAAAATAGACTAATGATGGTTGACATACAGTAACAGTAGAGGTAAAAAAAAAGGTGTGAAAGCATTAGCGGGGTAATTTCGGCTTGGAAGACTTTGGCAAATCTAAGCATATTGAGAAGATATTTTCTAAAACTAGAGGAGACACATGAGATTACTGGGGTGTTTTTCTAAGGAGAAAAATCAGGGCATTTAAAGGGCTAGTTCACCCAAAAATTACTCACCCTCATGTCGTTCCAATCCCATAAGACATTCGTTCATCTTCGGAACACAAATTAAGATATTTGATGAAATCAGAGAGCTTTCTGACCCCCTATAGACTGCAACGTAGGCTAAGTCCCACTTTCAAGGCCCAGAAAGGTAGTAAAGACATTGTTGAAATAGCACATGTGACTAATGGTTCGACCTTAATTTTGAAGCGACAAGAATACTTTTTGTACACAAAAAAAACCCATAACGACTTTATTCAACAATTTATTCTCTTCAATGTCAGTCTCTGATGCTGTTCACGTAGAAAACAGTGCAGCGCTTCTGGGTTCTACATCAGAACGCCGGCTCAGTATTGGCCGTATCCTGCGTCAGCAGCACACACAAGTGAACAGCATCAGAGACTGACACAGAAGTGAAGAAATAGGCTTTATGGCGAGTGTCACGTGACCAAGCCGGAAAACAGATCACATCGCTTCCGATTCAGGTCTTTAGTAGGGCTGGGTATCGATTCAGATGTTCAAATTCGATTCGATTTCGATTCACAAGCTCACAGTTCGATTCGATTTCGATTCTCGATTCGATTTCGATTCTCGATTCGAATTTCGATTCCTGATTCGATTCTCGATTCCACTATAATGAATATAGATGTAATACAAATCTCAGTCTAAATATCAGTTATCATTTTTTAGACAATTTTTTATTACATTGCTCTCACCTAAATGTTTGTTTTTACAATGGGGTAATTTTTTTGTTAAGAGTTTATGCAACACATGGAAGCTTGATTTCAATCTTTGAATTAAATTGAAAAAAGTAGCACAAATAAATACAATAGAATAGGCCTAAAGACACAAATAAAGAAACCTAAAAAGAAAAGTTTTTGGGTAGGTCAGAAATACTACAGAAACTGAATAAAGTAATCCAATGTAAAATAACACTGGATAGTCTTTTAGTCCTGACTGAATTAAATACATAGGCTATTCATTCTGATTCCTTACAATTAATGCTATATTATGTTGTTTTGACAACAAAATTAATGACAGACACATATGGTTGCGTTCACTTTAAGAACTAGTCCACGGATCCATTACTGTTTCATTATACTGTCTGTCACACGCGTTTTATGCTTATTTAAGACATAACCGACTGTCATTTGCGAGGTTACTCACCAAGACCAGAGTTTTGACATCATTTTGCGTGTTTTTAACTGTTAAAGCGATATAATCCACGAAAAAGAACTTTTGTTACTGGCGAGCTGTTTGTTGTGAGGCGGATTTAGGCTGTACGCAATGAAAAACATGCACGAGTGCGCGAGCACAGGATAGTTTAAAATTGCTTGAAAAAAGACGTGAAAATGATAAACGTTAGTTACGATGCAATGCTGGCCCGATTGTGCAAGTGAATCATGTCCCGACTCCTAAACACGAGTGTGTATCGACGCCTGCAGCGCTTGACGCTTGCCTTGTGCAGAGTGAGAAGACGCAGCACCGCGAGCCCTGAATATGGAAAAAATCGATTCGTGGCCGTTGAGAATCGATTTTGAATCGACCACATTTAAACAAACGATTAATCGAAAAATTGATTTTTTTGCCCAGCCCTAGTCTTTAGTATCTGCTTCATGAAATTTTTTGCAGTTTTACTCAAGATAACTTAAAAGGAGCAAGCAAAAATGAGCATAACCAATGTCCCTCGCATGTGCAGATTGATATTTAAAAGTTTTTTAATTTTTCTTCTTCACACTAACGTTTAGATATTTAAATAGCATAAAACACCAATAACAAAGTGAACTCAGTAGGTTAGCTGATTACCTTAAAAATCCATAGATATCATAGTTAGGGGAACTCTCGGGTTTAATTAAAAATATCTTCACTTGTATTCTGAAGATGAACAAAGGTCTTGGAACGGCATGAGGGTGAGTAATTAATGACAGAATTTTCATTTTTGGGTGAACTAAGCTGTTAAGCTATTTGCGGCTCTTCATTTATTCTCATTGCTATCTAGGATTGAGATATTAAAAGAGCTCTCGATTGTCGTATTTATTTTTTATGAACAGAGAAGAATCTCTCATTTTGTGTACTAATAAATTCTGCTTGGAGTCAGTTTGAGGTTCATGTTGAGTTAGAGGAGGTGAGTGGCAGAGGGGGAGAGGTAGATGGAGATGCAGATGCAGATAGAAACTAATGAAAGGAAGAGGCAGGAATGCACAACAAGCTGTCAGCTCTCTGACACTGTAGGAGATGATGATATCTGGAAGAGAAGGAAGCACACAGTTCAACAGTAATTCAGAAACAGAATGGGTCATGCTGATCAGATCTGTGTGCTTAATTATTTAATTTCGTTTTGAAACTGAGATTTTAAAGACATCTCATTTGTGATTTTTCTTTTCTATGGGTGACATCATCACATACAAAACATACTGTACTGGAGGACCTAACCCTCTTCCAATCTTCTAACCTTATTACGACACATTATGGTGATTTAACGTTGATGGAAGAACGTTATTTGCCAGTAAGGGGAGAGCGACATAACCGTAGCTATTTAGAGGAGTGATCTCCTTTCATTTTCCATATCAAACCCCTGCATGACCCAACGCTGTGATTGTGTTTGTGATGCGGGCTTGTCTGTCTCTGTCTCGTTCAGGCATTGCGTGCAGCTCGCTGACTGTAAACCATCTCATCTGCTGTTTGGGAGAATTCAAAGTCAGAGAGGCAAATTCATTGCGTCACTTTTGCATCACTATAGCTTTTTCAGTCTTATTCACTAACTATGTTATTTAAAAATGTTTGTGTAGATTTGCTAGCAATCCTGGCAGCAGTAATTCATCGATTAGTGATGAAATGATGGAGAATGGTGTTGTAGCACTATTATGTAGCACACATTTGCCACATTTGGATTGGTTTACCCAAAAATTTGGATTTAAATTTATCGGCCAATATATTGGTTATCGGCTTTCAAATATAAAGAATTACATAGGTCTGACATGAAACTCTGAATGGTGGTGGCTGATAGGTCTTTAGGTAGAAATCATGTCATTATCTACATAGCACAGCTGATTGGTTGCTGTTGCATCAGCAGCCAATGAGCTTTCTGCTCAAACATTCAAATACTTGGCTCCACCTGCTACAGGGTTAATTCATGTATGTTACATGTGCAGCAGCATGTCTTACATGGTCACAGCAATGTCCGTGAATGTATTGACAGTAGCAAGTCTCGGTACTTGCCCTGGTGCCGCAGATCTATTCCGCCAAGACCAAATACATTAACATTGCCATATCCATTACCATGCCAATCTCTATTACCATACCAATCTCCCAAGAGTTGTCACGACAGAATTATTGGTTATCGGTATCGGCCAAAATTTCAATCCCTATCCCAATCTATAAGACTTTCGTTCATCTTCGGAACATAAATGAAGATATTTTTTAATGAAATCTGAGAGATTTCTGTCCCTCTTCATACTTTGCAGTCACGTGACTACCATGGATACCTGGCGGGCAACAAACGGGTATTTTCTACGTAGAGTCCTGTAGTTCCAGGTCTTATGGGTCTTTTAGTAGCTATCAAGTCTGTTAGCGAGCTAGCTGCATAACTATGTACTAGAAATAGGATTAACTCCAAGGTAGCTAAATTGTGTAAAGCAGACAAGGTTTTTTAAGATAATCGAGCAGTAATAATTCCTCCATAAATAATCTAGCTCTACTGTTGGGTCATCTCTGGTTCTCGTTGAAAACCATAGATATCACAAACCTCAAAACACCACCTTTTGTATAGTAAAACTGGCGACGTCCTGGCAAGATCCTTGATTAGTTTACTGGGTTTCTTTGCTGGAGAACGACGTTCTTGCCCGCCAGCCAGTACTTGTGACGTCACGTGCAAAATATGAATGGAAAGTCTATTTAAGTCTGACTGTTCAAAATGTTTAAAAAAAAAACTCTATAAAGGTGATGATACACAGGGCAACTTTTTGAGCAATGTTGCTGGGCAATCTTGCCGAGCGATTGTTGCTTGAGGACTTTCTCGTTGAAAATGGGCCATAAATTTCTATCTGGATAATTTAGATCGGTCGTGGGCCCTGTCTCTCATCTGGTTGCCCGTTGACGG